CTACTACTACTACTACTACTACTAGTACTACTACTACTACTACTACTCTACTACTACTACTACTACTACTACTACTACTACTACTACTACTACTGCTACTACTACTACTACTACTACTACTACTACTACTACTACTACTAGTACTACTACTACTACTACTACTACTACTACTACTACTACTACTACTACTACTACTACTACTACTACTAGTACTACTACTACTACTACTACTACTACTACTACTACTACTACTACTACTACTACTACTACTACTACTACTAGTACTACTACTACTACTACTACTACTAGTACTACTACTACTACTACTACTACTACTACTACTACTAGTACTACTAGTACTACTACTACTAGTACTACTACTACTACTACTACTACTACTACTACTACTACTACTACTACTACTACTACTACTACTACTACTACTAGTACTACTACTACTACTACTACTAGTACTACTACTACTACTACTACTACTACTACTACTACTACTACTACTACTACTACTACTACTACTACTACTACTACTACTACTACTACTACTACTACTACTACTACTACTACTACTACTACTACTACTACTACTACTAGTACTACTACTACTACTACTACTACTACTACTACTACTACTACTACTACTACTACTACTACTACTACTACTACTAGTACTACTACTACTACTACTACTACTAGTACTACTACTACTACTACTACTACTACTACTACTACTACTACTACTACTACTACTACTACTACTACTACTACTAGTACTACTACTACTACTACTACTACTACTACTACTACTACTACTACTACTACTACCACTACTACTACTACTACCACTACTACTACTACTACTACTACTACTACTACTACTACTTCCAACCACCCTTCGACAATACTCCTGTCCTTCTTCCGTAATACGGCAGTCTCCAACTCCTGTATTCTACCAACCATAGACCTGAGCACCTCTCCATAGACCTCCCCCCTAGGCACACTACTACCTGTAGATCGGGTCATCGGGAGAGATAAATCTCGAAGGGCTACTGCCTTCCCCACTAAGTGCTGCCTCGCATCGTTGGTGGACCTAAACCTGAGCATGCCAGGTAAAGACGATGCGTACTACTCTGTCGAGTGAAGTCTTCAGCTCCCCACGAGTAACGTATGCGCCACCCTGCCCTCCTGCTGGACCAAATATAACCATATCACCTTCGGAATTATTTTCCAGAGCAGAGCATTCCATACCATCCTTCCGCCACATCTACAATACAATACCCCCCTCCCACATCAACACGAGACTACAGATAGTATTACGATATGACTTGAGCGCTTCGGAGAGTCCAGAGCAGAGCATTCCATACCATCCTTCCGCCACATCTACAATACAATCCCCCCTCCCACACCAACACAAGACTACAGATAGTATTATGATATGACTCGAGCGCTTCGGAGAGTCCAGAGCAGAACATTCCATACCATCCTTCCGCCACATCTACAATACAATCCCCCCTCCCACACCAACACAAGACTACAGATAGTATTATGATATGACTCGAGCGCTTCGGAGAGTCCAGAGCAGAACATTCCATACCATCCTTCCGCCACATCTACAATACAATCCCCCCTCCCACACCAACACAAGACTACAGATAGTATTACGATATGACTTGAGCGCTTCGGAGAGTCCAGAGCAGAGCATTCCATACCATCCTTCCGCCACATCTACAATACAATACCCCCTCCCACACCAACACAACAGTGACAAGACTACAGATGGTTTTACGATGTGACTTAAGTGCTTCGGATAATGGTGATGTGAGCTACGAAAAGTAATAGTAGCAACAATAACAACAACAACTAGGAGGAGGAGGAGGAGAGAGTACTTAGTGGACACTTAGTGACAACACCGAAATGGCAGATAATCACAATCAACATCAGCATATCTTTGCGCACGCGGAAGAATTTCCAACTGGGTATCCGAGAAAAGGTATGAAAATCTTCGCTGTGCGTAAAGATACCATCCTACGATCATCTACGGCTGAGTAAATCACAAGATACCACATCTCTCCCTCTTCCCTCTCCCCTGCCTTAACCGACTATTATTTTCTCCCCATTGGAATGACCCTTTGATTCTGTTGACGGCCATTTTTATGCGACTTCACTTTAGCTTTCTTCAACACTATACCATGTGCGGCCATCTCGTGTGCTAAGTCCTCCTCTGCACTCGCGTTACCGTTATTATTAACCTCTTCGTTTTTAGGAGGAGACCCCCAAGGAGTAGAGGACGCAGATGAAGCTTTCACAGCTTTTACCGCCTTGGGCATCTGAGTGTTATCGCGTCACCATAATTTTTCCACCGAAAAAATTTTTTCTATTACTTTTCCCATTTTCTTCTCTTTTTTCTTCTGTTTGTGCTGAACCGCCTCACACGGGAGAGGGGCTGAAGTCAAACGTTCTTCATACTCTCTATCCAGCTCGGCCTGCATTCGCTCAGCGATTAAACGATCGTGCTCCTGAGAATCTTAGCTTCCACCATAGAAGATACAAAATAGGCCCAAAAATGACCCTTTTTCAATACCTCTTGCACCTTTTTATCCAAAATATTTGACGCTTGTTGCTGCTTCTGCTGTTGATGAAGATTCACCGGCCGAGGACGCTGACTCCCCATACGCGACTACAGCAGAAAGAATACTCACACGATTCAGAGAATCATCCAGGAGCCTATATTATGTTAATATCATATATTCCAGGGGAAACTCATTTTGAAATTTCTAAACGGCTAGGAAGAGCGCATTCTTCAATCAATTTCCGATGTAAAAATCATCACAAGATCAACATTTTCCGATTGTTATCAAACCCTAGGGAACGCCAGATGTGTCCCTGATACGAACGACTCCCATTTTACCGCAAAGCCGCCGTAACCAGCCGCCTCTCGTGGAGTTCCCATACCATCTAATGCGCTTCGCACTGTCGAGAATAGAGGATCTCCCATAGGAGGATATGTCAACTCGGGTGGTGAAATGAACCGTTGCGCTGTAGTCGAGGACCGTTGAGTTGGTAATTCCTGGTTGTAAGTCGCTGGCTTGGTGCCCAGCCACGAGAGGTCCGCAACAGGACTCGTCATAACTCGACTGAATGAAGGCGTGATCAGCATTGGAGGAATATTTGCTCACTTTCCTCAGCTGAATTTAGGATACAAACTCAGGTAGAAGTGTGCGAAAACCAATCAAAATTTTCCCGAAAATTTCCTAAAAATTCTCATATGGCCACCGGAAGCATGTGTATATTCTCCCACATTGATCGTGATAGTTTCAGGAACTGCATTCCGATGCTTACCTATCCTCAAACATACTACTGGGTGGTATGTCACTCGACCTTCCGTCCTTGAGAAAATCGACTGTCGCTGCTGCCGGTGACACACCAAAGAGGCCACCGGTAGTAGATGATGATGATCCCGAATGATCATAACCGTTAAAGACGTCTTTTACTGGATCGACTGGGGTGTAGTGCGAAGAAGCTCCACTTGGTGGTTGTTGTTGGAGCAGCATGAAATCTGAGCGGAAGAACATGATAGTAGTAGTAATAGTAGTAGTAGTAGTAGCAGCAGTAGTAATAGTAGTAGTAGTAGTAGCAGTAGTAGTAATAGTAGTAGTAGTAGTAGTAGTAGTAGTAGTAGTAGTAGCAGTAGTAGTAATAGTAGTAGTAGTAGTAGTAGCAGTAGTAGTAATAGTAGTAGTAGTAGTAGTAGTAGTAGTAGTAGTAGTAGTAGTAGTAGTAGTAGTAGTAGTAGTAGTAGTAGTAGCAGCAGTAATAGTAGTAGTAGTAGTAGTAGTAGTAGTAGTAGTAGTAGTAGTCGTAGTAGTAGTAGTAGTAGTAGTAGTAGTAGTAGTAGTAGTAGTAGTAGTAGTAGTAGTAGTAGTAGTAGTAGTAGTAGTAGTAGTAGTAGTAGTAGTCGTAGTAGTAGTAGTAGTGGTAGTAGTAGTCGTAGTAGTAGTAGTAGTAGTAGTAGTAGTAGTAGTAGTAGTAGTAGTAGTAGTAGTAGTAGTAGTAGTAGTAGTGGTAGTAGTAGTAGTAGTAGTAGCAGTAGTAATAGTAGTAGTAGTAGTCGTTTTGATAGTACCATCAGGAGTTGTGTTATTGTTTTCCTCAGCGCTGATCTCCGGACCTGATACCACTTCTTTAGTGGTATAGTCAATAACCGTGTCGCTTTCGGGTGGCATATCCCAAGTCGATATAGAGTTATTTTCTTGCCAGAAAAAGTATCTGTTATACTGTTCGTTCCAATAGCGATACCATGTAGTTGTAGTAGTGGTAGAGGAGTAGTTGTCGTTGCCAACACCAGGGGAGGTGTCGAAAATGGATGGGTTACCACCAAAGCCGTGTGAGGGAGTTTGCAGTTGACTTGCCATACTTTGCAATAGAGGGAACTGATAATCGATTACGACAGGCTCTCACTGGACCTATTTTGTATCTTGTGCGCTCAACCTAAAGATACCCGGCGGGGATCCTCGAATAATTAACAATATAAAACCACTTCAAAATAATTTGCAACTCAATTTTGCAACGCATTACCATCTAAGTAGAAAATCTACTTTACCATTTTTCTATCAGAAAGTAGAAATACACCAAGCCGGGTCGAAGCTGATCCATGTGTCTATCGATATTAATGTTAAAGATTATCTGGGCGCGCGCTAAAATGAAATCATAGAGAGGCTCAAGATGTGGTGGCGCGACCACTGTGGAGGTAGTGTGGTATGCAACTGTTGATGAAAATATGTTATCAAAGAACCCCATATAGCGTCCTCTCTTGAGTGCTACCATGGCGAAGATAGGCGCTTGTCATTTCGTAATGGTGTATTGAACCGTTTTAAGTGGTGTTAATTATTCCGCCCCGGTTTATTCGTTTTTGAGTTGGTCTGCGTTACACGCACTGGACCACCCTCTGTCACTCCTATTATACTCTACCCTCTACTATTAAGGTATCGAGTTAAGTTCGAGTAATTGCACAACAGATGTGGAAAAGTTACAAGAGAATTTCTCGAATAACTGGCGAATCCTGTATACTGCGTTAAACGAAGATAGTTTATCATCATCATCTTCATCAACTGAAAGAGTTATGGTAGAGTTTGGTATTTGTTGTCACCCTATTGAATAGGGCCTATTCTTACTGTCTGGCAGTGTTGGAGGAATATATATGTTCGCTTTCCTCAGTTGAGCTCATGAGTTACAAATTTCCACACGAGACCGACTGGGAAATGTGCAGAAACCAACAATAATTTCCTCAGAATTTCCCTCGCTTAATAATAATTTATCACCGCTTTATCGATGAGTACCACTCCCTCATCAATTCAACAGGAGCGTTACCGGCTCGTGTTCGCCTTTCTAGATGAAGATAAGTGAGTTTAGGAAGTTTGATCGGCTTGAGGGTACGACCTGTGGTCGCTCATATATTGGATTTTAGTAGTATTATTCATTTTGAATATATAAGCTCGGGTATTTTACTGTAGTTTGTGAGAAGTAAAAATGGGCAGAATTTGAGTGTTTTGTAATACCATCTTTCGTTGAAAGTAGTGTATTTCACACTTAGTGGAGGTGTGGAATAAAACTGTTATTAGATGAGTCTCGTCGGAGTTATGTATTATTGTGATCAGGAAGGGGGTACTCGAAGTGGATAATAGCCTTGGCCATTTCATCCGACTGGCTGGCTTTTGTCCCAGCGACGAACAGCTGCAAAAACTGATAGAAAAACTGCAAAATGAGAAAGTGTGAATGAAAAAGATGATTAATAAGAGTTGCTTCGCTCCGCCTTTTTCAGGTAAATTATTTTGATTTTTCGAAGGCCGTTGAGGTCCTCTGTGATGAACTACTTATTGGGTGCAACTCGGCGGTTATGTTTGACGAAACGTTAGATGCTCTGAAGCTTCTGAGCGATGGTAGGGGCTGGGGTATTTTTCGCGCGCCACGAAATTACTCCAGTGAACGTATATATACTATTTCAAAACATTGAAGCTATAATCGTGTGTGAAAAATTCACATTCTAAAATTCCTTTTACAATTCTCAATTATATAACCCCACTCTAGCAGAATCACCTCTCGCTCTGGACTTGTTTTTTTTCAAAACAACTCAAAAAATATTTGAAAATCAAATTTGAATTCACAGTAATACAACGAATATGTAAAATACATATATACGCCTATAATATATGTATGAATATTACTCGTACTAGGCCTCCTCGATGAAGTGTTCAGCGAAATTCGGTGACAGAAACTCGATGGGCTTGGGCGCGATCAACCTGTAGCGCGCGACATAGGTCTCTCGAGAGTTTGCGTATATCAGGAAATGGCATTTCAAACGATGTGGTATCTTTATCGACGCTTCGCTCCGCCTTGATATCTTGTGGTGATGATGATGAGCGCACTGCGAAGAATTTCGACAGAATGCTTCGTGAGATGGGCTACAAGGGAAAGGAGGAGGTGGGTTGTTACTGCATTACCGCGCGCCACGAAATTATTCCGGAAAATTTCATAATGACTGTAGTTTTCGAATTGGAAGTGTTCAGGTGGACGCGTACGGATTTGCTGAGAAACTACTCGGCCTTGTTGAAATGGAAAAGTGATAATTAAAAATATAATTATGTTGTTGTGTGGTAGTGGTTCATTCAAGGTCGATGGAACTATAATGAGTAGTGGTTCATTCATTCAAGGTCGATGGAACTATAATGAGTAGTGGTTCATTCATACAAGTCGATGGAACTATAATGAGTAGTGGTTCATTCATACAAGGTCGATGGAACTATAATGAGGAGTGGTTTGTTCATACAAGGTCGATGGAACACTCCAACAGAACACTCTAACGCGTCTACTGGTGTTGTCCGTAGTCTTTCGTAGTGAACGAAGGTAGTTTGGGAAATCTCGACTTCAAGTTCATTATTACGTTAAAATGCCCAAACGACGACTCTTAAAGCGGACACGCTC